TATTTATCAAGTGAATCATTGTTTAACTGTGCAGTTAATGAAGTCCCAAATTTACATGAAAGCTGAATCATGCTCAGCTTCAATAATGTAGTTATAATAACTGGTTCTATCTTCACTAATTGGAACTTTTAAGCGTTAGTGCATTTTCTAATCATGACTTAAATTTTCAAAGAGGTGTATAAAAAAAGAGCTATAATGAAATCAAGTTAGAAATAACTGGTAAGAATAAAATGTTACCATTGTCTATTATTTATAGTTTTCCAAACTGACAAATAGTTTTGAAAAGCTGAGATTACACCAGATGAAACAAAACAAAGTTCGACGAAAAGAATTACCCAACCCCAAAGAAGAAATCCCATTTGAACTGAGCAATTTGAATGAGAAACTAGAGGTGAGATATATTTTCTTAGTTTCTTCATGTGTATTAAAGATTGATTTTTACTGTTGTTGTTGTTTTGAATTATTTGTCTTTAGTGCACACAATGTTTTGTATAGCTATGGTAACAAACACCATTACAAATCAACTTTTTATTGAATATATTTTCTTAGTGCACCTTCCCTTCAGGCACTTAGTGAATTAAAACATCACTTTGATTTATACATCTTGTATATATCAGCGTTTTGGGAGAGCCAAAAAAAACAGTTCAAAGAAATTGCAGATGTTGAGTGAAATTGAAGGACACCCCTGGGGTCAGTCAAAGCGAATATTTAATAAATCTTTTAATGGTGCTTTAACTATTAGGTACTTAAATCCCAGTGAAGCCTCATAACAGTTTTCAGAACAGGGCTTGAAGTTCCAGGATGTTTTTCTTTAAAGAGGTAGTGTCACTCCAATTTAGGTACCCCATATCAGTCAGAATTTCTAAAATCTCAGTCTCTGAAAAGGTTTACTATGACATGGCTGTCCTTCTCCTTATCTCCTTAACTTTCCACTGTTTCCAACCTTGGGAAAAACAAACCAGCTGTTTTTCTTTCGCTATGCTCTTGAGTATTCCTGTCTCAAGTCACGTAACAGCAGGTAGAAAAACCGAAACCAAACCCGTTGGCGTCGAGTCAATTCCAGCTCATACTGACCCTGTAGATTCTACCATAAATTCCTATAAATTCTACCAGCAGATAGATTCTACCATAAATTCCTATTATCCAATCTTAGCCAGGTCTCCAGTGCTGCTTAATTAATATTTTTAATTGACCCTTATCATGTTATTCTGCTCAATTGCTTTCATTCTTCTCAAGTCCTAAAGCCTAGTGCCCCCCTTCTCCCAGCCTATGATTTCAGTTTCTTCTAGTTCGTTGAAAGGTAATGGTTCTGTAACTCCCAATCACCCCAGCTAGAAACCTTTTAGGAATATTTGATCTCTTCTTTCTCTTATTCTTCATATCCAGTCCAGAGTTGTCCCATACTCCTCCTATCTAATTGTCATTGCCCTGTTTCATATGTCATTATCTTCTCTAACTTTTCCTCTAAGAGATCTTTAAGAGGAAGAACAAAAAGGGAGTTTGGATCACAGCCTATTGTAGGAATTTCCTAGGAGGTCTTGTGTTTTATCTTTTAAAATCCTGCAATTTTTACATTTTACAGAAGTATATACAGTTTTCAAATACAAAATTATCACCACCAAGTAGAGTTGACCTTCTAGGAAAATGTACTGTGTAGTAGTACTCTCTGGCTCTTGCAGTAGGGTCACCAAACTCATTTCAGAAATGTGCTGGTCTCATAAAAGATGACCAGAGATGTGCATCATTATATACATGTGCTTTCACTGAAAATACAGATCAAGTAACTAATTAGTCATTTGATTGACTTTTCATGGTAGGGGTTTTGTGGGAGAACTACATTCATGTAAACTGTTCAGACCAAAAGAAAAAAACCAAAACTTCAATGTTAGTTTGTGTGTATGCATTTTACATCCAGGGAAATAAATATTTCCATAAAATATACCTCATGAAATAATAGTGGAAATCAGTTGCAAAATATGATTTGTTATGTATGTACTTTTATATAAAAATTTTTAAGCACACAATATATAGATACAGTTTAACCTGTGTAATTATGGAAATACTTCATGTACCTGTTTTTACTTATAACCATCAGAAAAATTAATGTGTAAGAGATGGGCTGTTCCAGTTTTAGTCTACTTCTAATCATGCTTTTTCTTTGGGACAGACACTTATACACTGGCATAGTATTAGAGCAATGGAAAGCAGCATGTAGTAGTGGAAAGAACATGACAGTTCATAACTTAAAACAGACCCTGACCAACTCATTTATTTGCCCTGTGACCTTTAGACAAAT